TCATTTACTGCGGCCATTTTGTAACTAAGACCGCACCAGTCCCTTTCGCCTGACCAGGTCACACAACAGATCAAACAAACAGTAACGCAACTCAAGGTAGGATTTGTACACTAAAATTTGGGAACATGAAAATTTACCCACATCATGCGATAAATTCACATCTAAGACTAAAATTGCTCACGAGAAAGTAACGACAGAGCCAAAAATATGAGAAATAGCAACAAGGAAGAGAACAATAAATATGTGAATGACGTCACTGAAGGGCGGGCCGTGTTTCTTGACAAATATTTACAGGACTGGGTACCAGCTGATGAAGCTGATTTAAGTATGGCGGTGTTTCATAAAGATCCTTGTGGACTTATTTGTCTTTTCATAACTTATTCCGCTGTGTTTTATGCAGACTATTGTATAGTTCAACATGTTGTTCGTCCCACTCTAACAGAAAGGTAAATTTCTTCTATTTTATTTCTCTAAGTCTCAATAATTTTCTCGCTATTTTTTAAGAGGTAGTCGAATCGATCTTCATAAATTGAATGTAGGAACGTATTTAATCATTTTAATTTGAATGTCAATCACTTTTCTTTTTCAGTATTAAGACTGAAAATGTAATTCTCTGATAGACTGAGAAAAATTTTAAGTTACACTGCGGAATCAAATCTTTCAGCCACCTTTAGCCAAATTCGATCACAGTCATTTCAATGACTGTGATCGAATACTGACGCGTCTGTTTCAGTAATTAACAACTAGAGTTTATCGTGATTTCATAAGAGTTGTCTTGTGGTATTATATGGTATGTTACATTCAGCATGCAATATAACAATGTTCCATCAATGTCTGTGACTATATGAAAATTATGTATATGGACTGAGGATTATGGTTAAGAAATGAAAATGAAATAGAACTTTGCAATGATGAACTCTACTTAAGCAGTAGTTGAAATAACACCTGTATGGGATTTGAACCCATGACCTCTGCAACTCCGATGCAGTGCTCTACCAACTGAGCTAACAAGCCAACTGATAGCTGGTTACTATGTTGGTTGTTAATAAACCCATGAAGTGATGAATCAGTGACTGTGAATATATGAAAATCATATTTGTGAACTATGGATTTAGAAATGAATATGAAATTGATCTTTACAGTAATGAACACAACTTAAGCAGGGGTTAAAATAAAGCCTAAAAGTAGTGTTCATTATTGTTAAGATCACTTTCATATTCAATATTCCATCAACTCTTAGGCTATGCTGAAAACAGAAGTGTTTTGAGGGTCTTGAATTATTAAAATAACTTATATAGTTCGGGACTTCTTCAGTCTTTGGTCTCAACTTGTCAATGACATGAGTCTTGTCTTCTGTTCATGGGGGCAAATTTCCATCTGGTTTGTTGGGCTGAGATTTCAGCCTGGCTACCCTTCATGATGAGTCTTAAAGCTTGGTTACCAAAATGATAAGGGGAAATATTTTAGTAACCAAGCTCAAGTGTTTATTTTATTAGGAAAAGTTACTAAGACCAATTGTGGAGATATTGGTTCCATGGCCAGCATCCCTCCACAAATCCCAATGTTTTTTTCTGAAGGTTAGACTGGAGAAATTGCAGAAACCAAAGCAACCATTAATCAATGTTGGTTATTCTAGAACAATGTTGGTTATTCTAGAACAAAAATATTGTGAAGTGATGAATTTAACAGTCTTGAAAGTTATAATGAATAGACATCTGAATTTTCTTTCCCAAAACTTATTAATCTCCATTTGGCTTTTATTTGTTTTTAGCATCTGGGGCAGCTTACATGTTTGTATATTTAATATCATTGTTCTACTGTTGACAATATCCCATGTCAGAGCATCATTTTCTGATCCAGGTAAGATGGGCTCTTCAGTAAGGCACTCAGCATCTTTCTTTGTTTTTTCTTTTTGTTTTGTAGTTTTGTTTTTTGTCTTTGGTTTATCTTGATGGCTATTAGCTAAGAGGAAGTACACTTTTGCTTTTGTAAGCCCTGATAAAGTAAAAACTAATCCTTAAGGAAAGAGAAAGCTGGTTTCAATTTTCAAGCTCTGAAGGAGAAAGTTATGAAATGGGGCAATTAAAAGCAAAATTATGTAATAAATATCCCATATCTTGCAGAGTATTAACTTCAGAGGTTTGCCCAGAGCAGAACAGTATCGAGATCAGTAACATTTTGAAGAGAACCATTTGCGTAGGCAGTCCATGCTTTTTGGAAGGGGTGCCTGCATGAATGTACCCGTTAGCTAAATGTACAGAAACCACTGCATGTTTTCTCTTTGTAAATGGTTGTAAAGTATAGTTTTTGCTTTCATGTTTAATTCTGTTTACATCTCTTTTTAGGGGTGGTAGCTAGACCCTCATCAAGTCTTGATTTCTCAGAAATAAATAAAGCAAAAACTAAGCAAACAGAGGTGAGTAAACAGAGAAATAAAAACTTAGAGAACTTAGAAAAAGACCTCACCTGTTAAAATATTTCAATTTTTTTCTTGAAAGAATTTAATAAAATTGCATTTAATGTTTCCAACTAAGAGGATTACTTGACATGGTCAGGCATTTCTTTACTTGGATTTCTGTTTTGTTGAACATTGATTTATAAACCTTACAAGTACATGCTATAACTTAAACCTTTTGAGAAGACAGAAAAATACCAAGAAAAAGAGATGATTAACTCAACCCTTTAACTCCCAAGATCTGATTGTTAATTCTCCCCCCTGGCTGCATGCATTTCCTTGTAAATCAGTTATGAGAATTCAATGTTAGATCAAGATAACAAATCTTACCTGATGAGTTGGAGTTTTCTCAATACCTGGTTGCAGGATAATGTATGGATATTATAGGGAGAATTTCCATGTTAATCACCTCTGGTAGTTAAAAGGTTAATAAATATCTGCTGATGGTTTCAGAGTGAAAATGAATGGACTGTCTGTGCAAAATGTGAAGCTTATCGTCCACCAAGGGCACATCATTGCAGGTACATATACCAGATGTTACACAAGGGAAATTCCATAGCCATAAAACCAGCCTAAATTAACCCTTTCAAACTCAAGATCCAGATATTAATTCTGCACACTGTTCTCGTTACATTTCTTGTCATTTCAAATCTGAGAATTTATTGTTGCATCAGCAAATATATTCCCTAGTTGATATTATTCTTATCTCTCATCATCTTTCTGCGCAACAAATGTATTGATATTTTAGGGAGAATTAAATTTTTTTAATCGCTGGTGGGAGCTAAATGGGTAAAGCAAGTTTAATTTACAGTGCAATGAAATCAAAAGGTATTGACAACAGAATTTGTTATCTCTGTTTCAGGACATGTGGAAGGTGTATAAGAAAAATGGATCATCACTGTCCCTGGTAAGTAAACTGTACTTGACAATTAACCCTTTCATTTGTAATTCCCCTTACAGTCAACGATACAATTATCATAATGTTAGTTCAGAGAATTCAGTATTGGATCAGCTATTTATCCCCAAATTGGTATTTTTCTTTATTCTCATCACTTATCTGGTTGATATTGTATTGGTATTTTAAGGATTAATTTTGTCTTGGTCACCCATGAGAGTTTAAGGGTAAAATACATTTCACTTCAAACCTAATGTGATAAGGGTACCTTTCTTTAGAAAATTATCACCATTTTGCCTCCATTTTTTATCCTTCTATAGAAAACCATGTTTTCTTTTACACCTGGAAGCTAAAAATAAATCTGAATCCCACTATACATTCAAGTTACCAAAAAGGAAAATGGGATAAAAATGTATTTTTATGGCATGAAAGCATTGAGCAATTTTCTCTTATAGGATCAATAATTGTGTTGGAGAAGCTAACCAGAAGTATTTTATTTTATTCCTGTTTTACACAGGTAAGATATTTTTGAATTGTAAGCACATTAATCAGGTCTTTTGCCATTTAAGTCTTTCTTTCTCAGAACATTCAATATAGATTACTTTATTAAAGAAAATGGTGATAGTGCTTGCACTCTATGTAGTTTATGGCTGTGTTTTGATGAGTGTTTGTTTTGTCCAAACCCTCTAGAGTTTCTCAGCCATGCACAACTCTCCTAAATGTTCAGATGATGCTATGTAAACACAGAAAAAGTCTTCTATTTTCTAAGAAACATTAATTACAGATATTGGTATCAAATGGAAGACTTAAAGACAAAATGAAGAGGATGCTTAGTGTCAGGGAAATAATCCTTTTTACTTTAATTCAGACTCACCAGTGCCAGCATAAGCTTACTAGAGGCGGTTGGAAGATATGACTCACCATTGTATGGCCAATTGTTTTTGTTGTCAAAATTTCTTTGCTAAGTGCTTCATATTACCTTTTAGGTCTAGCATCACTGTACAGTATAATTCTCACAGCTGTGTCATGGACAATGGAATGCAATGGCTGCACCAAAGACTATGAGAAAAGAACAAGATTGTGAGTCTGTCTTGCAAAGAAGAGTTAGCTATAGTCAATTCAAAAACTCATTAATAATTCATAAGCCCATTAACCTATCAAATGGTAGATAATACATCACGTGCAGTGACTTTATATCAATAAACCTCATCCTTATTAGTATGCGGTGTTTTATCAGATATAAAGACACTGCACGTGACTTATGAATATTAATTAATTATCAACACAGAAACTGACACAACGAATGGTGGGAACATATTTAATGTTCTTTCAACAAATTTCACACAGTAAATTTACTTTTGCACCAAATTAATAGTACAGTTGTGAAATACACATCTAGAAAAATTCTTTATTCCATTAGTACAGTAATCTGGTAAAGGCATATTAGACAATACATCATCTGAAACTTCGAATTCAAGATCAGTTGGCAGAAGTGACTCCAACTTGTTTTCGCTAACCTCTGCGTTTGACCTTTTGACCAACATGTGTGAGATTTGATTTTCTTGCATACTAATTTAATCCCTAATGTTTTTCTCGTATGCTAATTTCTAACGTTCACAAAAGCATAATTGTTATGAACTCTCTTGACACACGCTTTTCCAAGAATGTTTTTGAAGCCGTTCAAAAAACTCGCAGCACGTGTTTTATCGGGTCAAAAACCACTCGGCTACGCCTCATGGTTTTAAACCCGATAAAACACTCCTGCTCGTTTTTTAAACATTACTTAAAGCATTAGAATTTCATCTCACCATTAACCCTTTAACTCCCATGAGTGACCAAGACAGAATTTCTCCTTACTATATCTATACTATATCATGTAAACAAGTGATGAGAATAAAGAAAAATATCAATTATGGGATTACTGAGTGATCCAATACCAAATTCTCCAAACTAACATAATGAGAATCATTTGGCAGACAGTAAGGAGAATTACTAATGAAATCATGGGAGTTAAAGGGTTAACCCTTTGCACCATCACACCAGTGGTCATGTTCTCCACACTGTTCTCTTTACTTTTCCCATGGAACTGACAAAGAGAATTTGTTTAACAATCAGGAGTTTCTTAAATTGGTGATTATTTTCTTTTATTCTCATGACCTTTACATTTCATTCAAGGGCAATACTGTGAGGAGAAATTAGAAGTCAGTTTCCTCTCAGTCCCTCGAAGGTGTTAAAGGATTTAACAATAATTATCATCTCCATGACAACAGGAAATATGTGACCTCCACCTAACATGAATTTAAAAAATGGTTCAGTCAAATTGAATTTTTCAAATTCATAAATTGTAACTCTCCTTCTCGTTACTCTTCTGTGAGATTTCATTCCAAAAAAATTGTTGTTTTTCCTTTCCATATTCATTATAACTACATATTTTCTGTCTCATGAGAGTATTAATTGAGATTCTCTTTAATATAAAGGTTAAGTTTTAAATGTCACAGGAACATCCACTGAAAAAATACATAACCCAATATAACACTGTTTGTTTCTTTTTCAGAATTTACACTGTAATTTTGATGATCGAAGGTGTTCTGTTTGGTTTATTTGTCCTAGCCATGTTATGTGACCAGGTATGTACGTGTACACTACCATATTATGAACAGTTATTGCTACAAACATTGTTGTTGAATAAACTTTGCTGGTTCCCAAGCCCTTTGCTATAGAGAGGAGTATAGTCCAATGTAGTGTCATAAAATAATGCAACAGGCTGACATCCAAAAGAATTTTATTGTGCAATGAATCTTTAAGATTAAATCTCTGTGGCACGTTTGCTATAAGATTTGACTATTATCACAGGAGGGATGACTGGTTAGGGAACTAGACAGACATCCTTGTTATGTTTTTTATAGGTTTCCTTTATCTGACCATGCACAAAGTAATTTTTTTACTATTTATTTCAGCCAGGTACTGCATTAGTTGAGATTTTTCTTAATTTCTGTCCTTGCCCTTCAGTTCTCAGCCATTACAGGTGACCTCACAGCTGTGGAACATGTACAGCGGCAAATCAGAACAAACCGCAAACCAAGGAGTGCTCTCTTAGCTGAAGTGTTTGGAAGAGGTGCTTGTCTATTTTAATAGATATACACTTAGATACTTATGTTTCTTCTTATAAGTATTGTTATTATCAGTATTATTATTATTACTGATATTACTATTATTATTGTTGTTATCATTATTATAATTATGATTATTACAGTTCTTGTTAGTGATACCACAACAACTGAAACCTGAGCGAAGTACTTTTAGTAAGTCTATTTTAATTTATACCACAGGTGGATTTTTCATTTGGTTCTGTCCATGTTCTACTCCTCCCAGCCCGCAACAGTCAACAGCATCAGAACGCTATAATGTCTAACTGGCATGGTTTCAGAAAGAACAAAGCAATGAAGGAGAATCTATGATCCTTTCAGAATTCATTAAGTTAGAGCGTTTTTCTTGCTTCATTTGTGGAGTGTAAAAACATGCCCTCTCATTTGAATATGGCAGCCCATTTTAACTCCCTGGAAGTGACTTAACATTTTTTCTTCTCCCATCTGCAGTACATTTCATGTAAATTAGTCTAAAAGTTTTTTGTGTTACATCAACATAACACCCTTAAGTTTATGATTTTGTATATATTTATTACATTTTTCCAGGATAATGTATTGATATGGAAGTTAAAGAAAAATACCAATTATGATCTTACATAGAGCTGAAGCTTGCAAGGGGAATGCTTTTCCTGGTATTTCACCCCATGGACATAGTCTTTAAAGTTGAGCGTAGTTTGACCAGCCACTTATACCTTCATTATTATTATCACTGCAAGGTCATCCTCATCATTATCATTATTATCATTGTCATCATTAGCCTTCCTTGAAATGTGATTGGTTAAACACCAGTGAGAACTTCCTAGTCATTGGCTGATGAGAATGTGGCACAGGATATGGTTGCATTATCAAAACATTTTTTTGTCCATTTTGAAATAACCCCATTCTTGTATCAACACAAACTGTGCAACAGGGTTGAATTTCAATTTTTGCCAGTTTTAGTAATTTCAATGGAAATTTATTCTTCTTACAAAGATCAGTTGACAAATCATTATTGCTCCAGAAAATACATATTCAGTCAATATGCATGTACCTCTAATCACTGTAAAATAGTTATCTAATTCAGCTTTTAAATTGGCAAATACTGTTTTGTAAAATTTATTTTTGAAAAGGTGAATATTTTTAACTGTGCATATTTATTTATTAAGATTAATTAAGAAACCGGTCATAACTCTTTCACACAGTAATACATGGCATAAATCCCATTCTCTTTTAGTATCAATACATTATTAACACATGCGTGCAAGTGCAAATTCCAAGATGATGGGATGTCACCATGTGTCTTCCTGTTTTGGGATTTCTTTGATATGCAAGGAAATCAACTTATTAACTTCCATGTCAATGTTAGAGCACTTTTCAATTGAGAATTGCAAAACAAAGTCATCACAATAGCTAATTAGAAGAAAGGAACATACCTTTAGCCCTTGAACTCCCATGAGTGACAAAGACAGAATTTCTTCTTACAATATCAATACAATATCAACCAGATAAGTGATAAGAATTAAAAATGTATCAATTTGGTAATAATTAGTTGATCCAATACTAAATTCTCTGAACTAACATTATAAGAACTGTGTGGCTGACAGTAAGGAGAATTACAATTTGATCTGGGAGTTGAAGGGTTAAGAGCCGATGAGAACTTAAGTGCAGGAAGATGCATGCAACCAGTTCGTGTTTGGTTTTAGTTTTGCATGTGATTGGTTGTGAAAGTGATGCAAGTTTTCTGGACCAATTGCATAATGAGGCACAGCAAAACCAATGTGATTCCGGATTACTTTTGACACCTTTAAAATTGAAAATTGCTCTAAAAGAAGCTTTGTATCAACTTTGATTCCCTTTCTCTTGTGGTATAAAAAAGATAGCTGAAGAATAACCTGTTTACATCCATCCTCGTGATAAATATTTCTCCACGCATAATTTATGTACAAAGGTGTTGACAAATTAGTACCAACAATATTATTTTCAAGTATTTAGGTTGGTTTAGGTTGCAAGTTTTTCCTCTCTCAAAAACGCTAAGATGTACACATTATTCAAATATTTATTATTATACAATTATTGTGAGTAAGCTGAATATTAAAAATTGTGATATGAAGAACAATGTTTGATACAAAAAGAAGCCTTATGTGTTCCAGAACTTGATAGAGAAATAATATCTATCCGATGAAATCCCTACTAGTGAAGTCTTGTCAGACATGTTTCTTTCATTAACCCTTTCCACCCTTAAGAGTGACCAGCATCCAATTTCTCCTCACAGTAGTGCTTCTGAATCATTCGTAAAGTTTGTGGGAATAAAGAAAATGATAGCCCACGTGTAGCCGCACCCCTCCCTACCCCCCAAGGTGAAACGGTTACCTCGCCTCCGTTTCACCTTGGCGGGGGGAGGGTACGGCTACACGTAGGCTAAGGAAATGATCGCCGACCCCAGAAGCTTCGATAATTAAACAAGTTCTTCTCGACAGTACCAAAGTAATTGTAGAAGAGAGCCCTTGGTTGGATAACTATCGAGTGAAAAATTTACAATTCAAAAACCATGCGTTTTCTTCTGCATAATTATGTAAATGATTCATTCGTCGCGTCACACATGAAAAAATTTAAAAATTTTTTTAACACTCACGTTCTATCTTTAAACATGGAGCGGAAATAAACTTGTTTCAAAGCCTTAATTATGTTTGGAAACGAGAGGTTTGAATAGTGAATAGATTTAATAAAACAACCGAAGTCCGTGAAAATGTAGCGAGCGGATGTTATGGACGAGAGGTAAAAAAACAGGTAATATTTTAATTGACAAGGGGAGCGGCGTGAAAATTTTCGCGAATTGGTGTCTTTGTTGACAGATCTACTTACTTCCTTATATTGATTAGACAGAGCTCATATCCAACTAAAACCTAAATTCGACTTTTCTCTTCTTTGATGTGCTGAGTTTACAACTTTTTATTACGATGTCTTCGCTTGTTAGAGTTTGTGCAACTGTGCTCTTGTTTTACGCTTGCGGTTTGTATGGTAGTCATATGACTACTAAAGCGGCAGACGCCTGTGCTCAAGCTCTTCGTGCCTTAGAGAGGAAGATGCTTAAAAGGTTTGATAAGCTTGAGGACGGAGTATCCAAGTGTTGTAGACCGCCTCCAAAAGGTAAATGATCACACTTCAGTCGATGGTGAAAAATTTTCAAAACCGACCTGGATGAAATTATTTCAATTTTATCTCATTTTTCTCACAGAAACGTATGCCTCCTGTCGGGAAATTTACTTGAGTCACAATTTTCACAAGTAAGTCAAATCGATCTTCGAACTCCTTGCTGCCTTCTTGTCAACTTGTGGTTTGCGCCCGAAATCCATCAGAAACCAGAAGACACTCTTTGATTGCACTCTGAGACTTTTCAAACCTCGAAAAAGTAACTGATAATAGTTTCCACACATTGATCAGTGATTTGCAATTTTCTCTGAAAAAAGAATCGTACCGTATCTGAATTGAAGTATGATCTTTGAGAAGCACGGGTTTTTTAACGAATTATTACTTTAAGAATTCGTTTATGAAGAATGGAGGTTTTTGTTATCTTCAGTTTTGGGTGAGAACGCTTCTGTATGAGAACGTTTTAGTTCATTCCAAGATAAGGGCCCTTAAAAATCTCGGAGAACAGCAGCAATTCGGTGTCAGTTTCGTTGCATGCAGTGGCATTTCCTCTTCAACAAGATTTTAAATGGAATCCAATACCCAAAAACTGACATAAAATTCCATGAAAAACTTTGAGTTTCCAGCATCACTATTCTTTGAAAAGATTCCTAAATGACGTGGATGAAAAGACATTTTCTATTTTTTTTTTTACATTTTACTGACTTGCTGTCTGTACATGTCAGGTCCGCAGGAAATAAAGCTTATTCGCTCAAAACTCGCGGTGGAAAAATCCCTGTTTATTGTCACATGACCAGAAATGGAATTGGAAAATGTGGAGGTGGGGGATGGACGCTGGTCATGAAAATTGATGGCCATAAGGTAAAGTGGAACGCTTTTTAAAAATAAAAAGTCGGCGAGGGTTTGAGAACCACACATTTCGGTTCCTCTTCACCACATATATTCTTAGTTTGTTTTTTCAGTCAGTTCTAGTTTTATTTTGTTGTTACAGTTCGCGCTGATTTGCTTGCCGCTAATTCCTTTTCCGATTTCACCCTTCAAACATATGCCTAATTTTAGAGAAACACCTCTGGCGGGAGAATCGCTGAATTAGACTTATCTTTTCAACGGATATTTGCAAACAGGTAATATGAAGAGCAGATTAAATATTGACAATAACTTTTCCCCCTTTTTTTTAGCAAACATTCCATTACGATTCTAGTTATTGGACCAAAAAGATCTCCTTCAATCCTCAAGGAGGAGCAACTGGGTTCGATCATCGCCAGACCAAGCTACCTACCTACTGGAGTACACCATTCTCCAAGATCTGCCTCGCTATGAAACTCGGTACAGAGATGAGATCGTTTGTCGCCCACATGCGAGCCAACTCTTTACACTCGCTGATCGCTGATGGGAAATATCGAAAGACATCCAACGGTCGAGACACGTGGAAGTCGTTGATTGGTCGGAGAGCATCGTTACAGGAACACTGTAACAGGGAAGGGTTCAACGTAATGAGTGACTCGGGACCAGGCTCGAGTAAGGCCAGGATTGGAATCCTTAGTAACAATGAAAACAACTGCTGGAGCTGTGACTCGAGGATAGGTTTTGGCACAGGGAGCCCAAAATGGAGATTCCTTAACTCCAACACGTGCGGCAACTCGCACGGCTATGACGCTAAGGTTCAGATCAAAACCATGGGGTACATTCTGGTGCAGTGAAGTATAAAGATAAAAGTCATCTACATCCGCTGTTTGATTGATACACAAGTTCAGCACTAACTCGTTTTGATTGTGTAGAATTGGAAGCAACAAATAAAATGAGGAATGGTATAAAAAGGCGTAATTCTCTCAATTTTACTATCGAGTTTCATCTATTCTCCAAATATATCGGTACAGCATCCCTTCTCAAGTTTTTTCGGGGCGAAGTACAAGAAAATAAATTGACTTGACAAGCTGAAGGGAAAACATAAAGTTTTTTTCGCTCAGCCTTTTTTTATCATGTCGCAAGTTTCAAATTAAAAGTTTGACAAACGAGGAGGGGTAAACAGTAAAGGAGTATAGGTACAGTAAAAAATGACTTGCACATTCAATGAGTGAACTTTAATGAGATCTCCTTTCATGAACATCAACCAACTTTCTTGCATCAATCCGCTAAATATTGAATCTACATCTAAACATTTCTTGTTATTTTTCACAAGCCCCGACAACTGTTAATCGCGTTCACATCATAAATTACAAGTGCCACGTAGAAGCTATAATAATGATTTGAATCAATAAGTTAAGCGTGAAGACAAAATCTACTGTTGCTGTGGATAAAAGTAGTAGAAACCGCCGGGGTAAAATACTTGCGGGGCCTGTGTGTACGGCATGTGGTTCACAAACTGCCCCTGTTGCGGGACGTAACCTCCCGGCAACGCCTGATCCCCGTGGGAAACAACCGGTGCATAGCCCTGACTGGTGGTCATACTTCCGGAGGCCGAGTGTGGGCGCGGAGGGAGATTACTAGCGTGACTACCAGCATGAGTGTGACCACTCGCGTGGTTATGACTTCCCATCCCAATGTGCTGCGCGGGGTTAAGCCCTCGACCAGGTGACGTCATGAGCGACAGCAGATGTTGGTTTCCATGGTTACTCGCTGTCTGAAGTACCGAGGGGTGGAGGGTTTGTTTCAAGGATTGCTGTTGTTTTTTGTGTCCGAGTGGCGAGAGATGAGTATCACTGTGATGAGGAAGGATGTGGTTATGATTGTTAAACATCGGCTGTGGTTCCATTTTGCTGGGCTTCTTATTCGAAGTTATTATGGCCGGTGGAGGATCAGTCTTCACAAATCCATTTCCTGGGGTTTGAAAGTTGTTTCCGCTGCACCACCTCGCACCTGAATATCATGCATAAATACTGTCAATTCAGTATTCACTGCTCAACCTAACAGCGCGCCAATTAAGTTTTCCCGGCATTTGGAACAACAATTTACATCTATACAATAATCTAAAACTCGGTCAATAACTGCCATTCTGACATAATTATAGACAAATGCACCCTTGCTACAACAGTCCGGTAAGAGAGCAAATTAATTCGTTCTCGAAGAGACTGCTGTGTAACGCTGGCGACAAATAGTCACAGTTTGTTCGTTAACTGAAGTTAAAATTTCTTCAGCATAGAATAAAAGCTTGAAACATCAGGTCTTCTCGATTTTCTGGGGTATTAAACTTAGCCTTATAAGTGTAATGAACCCTTTAACTCCTGAGATCTGTTTGATAATTCTCTTTACTGTCTGAAATATAATTCTTATGATGTCAGTTTGGAGAATTTGGCATTGAATCAACTAATAATCCCCTAGTTGATATTTTACTCTATTCTAATCACTTCCATGCTTGATATTGTATTGATATTGTAAGAAGAAATTCTCCCTTGGTCACTAATGGGAGGTAAGGGGTTAAAAAAAAGGAAAAATAAATTCCCCAGTAAAAATCAAACAGTCCCTTACCATGAAGTAACTTCAGACGTGGACCCTGGAAAGAGAAAAAACAAACAAATATCAGAGCTTAACATGGAACTACTCAGAGATCACCTTCGCTCACCCTTCATGCAAAGGATTCACAAAACTGAGTCTCACAAATGACATTCGTATAGCTTTGTTGTTGCAAACCTTTGGTATTCCGAGATTTTCCAAATCCTCCTCTACCATCTGAGATAACCGTGTTGCATCGATGCCATGTTCCTGTCGATAATAATGATAAAAAAACGGAAAAATTGGTATCATTAAAGTAATAAAAAAATTAAACAAATTGTAACAAGGAAAAGAAAAGTAAATAAGCCATACTTCAAACAAGGGTACATATTTTTCCAGACTTAGCCGCTGCAGTAGTTGATTGATCTCTGAATTGCCCACAGGACCTTGCTGTTCCCGCCAGTTTTCCCTCATCGTCAAGCCAGGAGGGTATCCCTGTGGTAGACGCGAATACTGTTGCCAGGGATGAGCAGGAATACTATTCTCACCACCACCCGGCTGCGAAAGATCCACGCTTGAGCGTCTCGGTTGAGCAGGAAGGTTCTCATTCCAGGCAGTAGATGGCTCGCTACTGCTTAAAGACCGTGGACTCCTCCGCTTGGAATTCCACGACCGCACAGCGAAGTCGTCAACCGAGGGGCGTCCTCCCATAGAAGGGGGTGCAGACTCGGGGAGATTGTGTGCACGTGGAAGGGAGGGTGACGAAGGGGCGCTGTAAGCTCCTCTGCCTGGGACCCACTGTGAGCCAGTCGGTACACCCTGATCTGACAGCGCCGTATTGATTCCTCCTTGAGCCTCCTGGGGGGTGGGTGTCATGTCCTCGAGTAACGCGGACGAATTCCATACGTTGTTACTCGGGGGTAGGTCACTGTCCATGATGGAGGAAAGCTCCTGCCGGCTACTACTTCTACTGCTACTTGTGCTGTCCGAGTTGTTCCAAGCCTGTTTATCAGGAGTACTGTCATCGCACACAACTGACAGGGATGCGGCATGCGGAGGCTGTGACGACACAGGTCCCCAAATGCCCGAGGACAGTGATTTGAAGGTTCCAGAGTCACCACGAAGGTCAGACGCCCTCAGGTTGACTGCTGCCGCATCTGATCCTGACTTCTGAGATGAAGGAGAAAACTTTTCTTTCACAGGTGAAATGAATTGATGTTCTCCTTGATAATCATGCTGCTGAAGATCAAAAGCAAAATTCAGTCTTTTCTTTGTTTAACGCTCTACACAAATGTTAATAATCGTTCTTTCAACAACAACCAATACATCAGTATCTTTCTTGATGTGTCATCACACAGGGGCACGGCGCCTTCGATATTGCTAATCCTAAAGTTATACAGGACGCACATCACTTAGAAAATAGGGATCATTCCATGGAAAGTACGCACGAACGATTTTTTTTCACAAGTTGCAAGGCATAAAAACAAAAAAACAAAAAAACCAACGAGTGAGCGCAGCGAACGAATGAGTTTTTTCTAATACATTGCAACAAGTGAATAAAAATCGTTCAAGCACTTTCAGTAGTATGACATTTTTATTTCATATATGCTGAGATGTTTTCTTACTGACCGACACATTTGAAAGACTAGGAAAATACATCGTTCGTCACATCAGAGACACGAGCGATTGTACTTCACACTGTAAATCTCAATACGTTTAAAATAAATGGCCTTTCTCGCCGATGCAAATAAATACCAGAAGCGATCAACGAGTGTGAACTCAAGTTCAAGAAAAAGACAAATTTATCAGCTGGAGAGCGTTCATTCGATAAATCACTAAACTTTCCATAGCTTCTTTAGTTTTGTTATCATCTCCTTTATTCTCATGGCTTCAATGTGTGATTCTGGTGTGATATTGAAAGGAGAAATTAGATACCAGTCCCTCTAAGGGGGGTAAAGAATTAATGACTTTTCTCGACCAGACGATCATACTGCATGATCGAAGGTGATATTGTAATTCTACCTGTCCAGACCAGCTGATACTGCGAGCTCGCTCTTCGTGTTCACGGCTATCTTCACCAGTAGACCAAGGATATGACGACAGAGACCTACAAACGACGAAAGAGGCCAATCAAAACAGACAAACAAAATAGGAACCAATCAGAACTCAGAGCAAAGTACACGCTATCAATGAAAAGGGCGGGAAAACGGAGGCCATGGGTAAAACAGGATTTTCTGTATTGGTTGATTAGGTAGCGTCAATAAATTCACGAGGAAATTTAGCAACTTTATAACAATACGAGTATTAAAAAAAACAAACAAAGAAAACAACCTACCCAGTGCTGAAAAGGCTGCTAGTAAAAATATTCATTCCAGGAAGCGGACCCTGTGGAGGCAAGGTACAATAATCAGGTATAAAAGTACACAACTTGATTAATCTCAGAACTGAGATTAAAATAGTCACTTCTGAAAAGGGTTATAAGAAAAAAATGCAAAAAATTACCTCTAATTTTCTTCCAGTGGTGATACTGTCTGAACTTATGTCGGAGAAACCTATAAAAAAAATAGCGAGAGCTTCTAAAACTAAGAAACCATAGTGGAGGAAAACAGAGACGAATCACATCGACAAATCGCAGGGGATAAGAAAGAGATCTTTACCTGACGATTGTGAAGCCCAAGAACTAAAGTAACTGGGCAACTTTGACTTGTTTCTCTCCCTGGGAGACTGTAATAAACCGGAAGTTGTCGCATCCCCAGACGAAGAAGAGACCCTGTTCTGTAGTAAGCTTTCCTGCTGAGAATTGAAGTCGGGAACAGCAGCTTCAGCTGAAATTGAGAAGAAAAATTTTAACAATACGACAAAAAATCCATAGACCACAGTTCATTCTTCACTCAATCATATCATCGCACATAACTTAACCGAGGTTTCAATGATAGTCTTGAACGTTAGAAACGCCTTCTAAAGCAAGAAAAATCTCCTCTCGTAAAAGCAGTACCGAAAAGCTTTCACTTCAGTAATCATGCACTCGGGTTATACAGAACAACTTCAAAAGTTAGAACCACCTTGTGTAACAAAACAGATGGGAATACAAATACACGAAATGACTGATTGATAGCGTCCTTTGAATGGTAAACACTAGGCATTCAACAACAAGTTAGAACCCACTTGCGCAGACCCCCGTGGAGGTAACACTCAATAGCAATCATTTGAACGGTCACACACTAGGATTTCACCAGCAGACTTGACGTTAGAATAACAGCATAGGAAAAAACTCCAAAATACACAAAATTTAATGGTTTGATTCGCAGTCTTCGTGTTTGAAAGATATTAACTGTTTTACACCACAAAGGGATGGCTCAGAAGATGACAAAAAAATTATAATATTATC